CAAAGAGGTTGAAGGGAGGTTCCTTGCCATGCCCATGTGAGAACATCTATGAAGAACAGGCCTTGACCAGACAGCAAATCTTCTGAGGCCCTGATCTTGGAAATTCCCAGCCTTCGGAACTGTGAGCAATACATTTTCACTGTTTATGAATTACCCAGTCTAAAATATTTTGTTTTAGCAGCTGGAACAGACTAGGACAATGTCCCATGCAATATTTGAGATAATTTATATTAAAAATAATTTATTGTTTATCTAAATTCAAATTTAACTGAGACTATTAAATTTTCTCTGACAACTTTATGAGGAAAAGTACACTGTATTAAAAGTAACCTCACAACAGAGGCTTAGAAGCTAGACTGAAATCTGAAGAGCATAATGAGTTAATGTGGTAGAGATAAGTTGGGGCAGGTTGCCGAAGGAGACTGATGATTAAAGTTTGCTGGGCATGGATGTGGTTTGGGGCTTATGCAAAATGAGGCTGCAGAAGTGAGCAGAGGCCAGACCACCTAGGGCTCTGAAGGCCATGCAAAGGTTTTCAGTCTTTATTGCATTCAACTAACCTGTCATTACAATGTTCCTTCCGCAAATGCCCTTCCTTTCCTTGACACCAAATATGTAACTGTCTCCATGAACCACCCATGTCACTCACTCCTATGACTTTTTACCAAAGAATAACTTCTTCTTTACGTCTGTCTTGCCAAACAGAATGGTATTTCACTGAGGGCTTCCAGCAGATACTTGGTAAATATTAAAGGGGAAAACACAGCTTAGAAAGTCCATGCACTCTGGTTTAAGCTATCTAGTACTAATTCAAGTGCATCGGCACATGGTTTCTCTAGTGATAACATCTAACTCACTCAGTACAGCTTGATAAACAGCACATCCTGGTCTCAACCATGGAACCATTAAGTTAGAATGTCTAGAATGGGGCTCAGAAATTCTGACTTTAAAAAGCTCCCCATGGAAGTATGATATATACAACTATTTGAGAATCACTGGTCTATTTGGCTACTCTGGATTCTAATTCATAGGCTTTCCAAATAGTAGAAAACAAGAGAAAGCTCCTATTTCATTTGTTATAAATCTCACTGTACTCTTGACATGTAAGAGGGTTCAAGACTGTCAGAAGACTGAAGCCTATCTGATAGCATCCAGTCTTAATCATTTGTACTATATACTATCTCTGGGAAAAGATGTAGCAAGCATATAGTGCATTAGGTTGTCAACAGAAAATGTTTTAAATGTCATATCAAATTTATCTATCTTCTTTATATTAAGCAGGAATTACTTTTCAAATTTGATCCCTAAAATTGTTTTAATTCATACATCTAATGACATAATACAAAATCTAATAGACCATTTATCTACAAAAACAGAGCCTGTAGCTTCATGTAAAATTTCAGCATGAGCTAATTTAAAAAAACAAACAAACAAACAAAAACAAAAAAAACACACTTTTTCTATACTACTTATAAGCAAAGTTCAAACTCAAAATATAACTCATCATACATTTCTCTGTTTCCTGGAGAGAAAGATTATTAGAACTAGAAAGGACCAAACCATCCAATCCATCCTGTCCATTTATGTCCTTTTGTTCAATTTTACTCAATGGGGAAGCCATCCTGAAATGCAAATACTACTGCTGTCCCTAATGAGGAGTGGTTGTTTGTGTAAAATGAAATGTGTCTCAGTATTCCATTAAGGCATATTTCCAGCAAAAATTAAAATAGTAGCTTCATTCCCATTGTTATTCTCAGCTGTCTCAAATAAAGAAACAGTCTCCAAATTCAAACCACTGCAACATTTTACACTGGTTGCTCAACTGTGCAGACTGAAAAAGCAAAACAAAAACAAAAATAATGTGGCAATGTTGCATCACAACTACATCACACCTGCCAGGGTGCCTTTCCTGGGTTTACAAATAGACTTCATTGAAATGATGAGTTTGTGTTTAAATGGAGAATAAAATGTATGCTGTGAACCACGGTCAAACAGGAACCTCACCAACACGGGACCAAGAAGTACGCTGGTGAATTGTAGGTTTTCCCCTGTAGCGGCACAGAATGAGGCATTTTGCTTTCACTACTCACAGAAATCTACCATTATATGGAGTAATATGAATAACAACAGTGGGCTGGTTACGGAGGCATTTTGACAAATTACATGCTTTTATTCATACAATATGTCATCAAGTTTGCTTAACACTCCTAATTATAGGAAATGGGTTTTCTGGTACTTGTCCTCATGTGATATATTGCACATTATGATGCTTTTGCTGTAATCTGGAGATTGGGAACTGCATCCTACTATTTGAAGCATTTCCACAATTAAGGAATATGATAGGGTTAAAAATGAATAGGATTTTTACTACAAGTTCTTAGGCCAGTCTGCTTCTCAGATCAGAGAAGCTACTTTCACTGTCATTGAGTCATGAAAAATAAATCTGATTTCTCCAATACATCAACAAAGCACTCAAACGGATCCAGAGGTTCTTTTTTTCCTTCTCTAGACAGTCAGCAGCGAATGGCATTAGACTGCATATTAGACTGTTAGGAAAAGTCTATTGTCTGCATTTGCTGACATTGAGGTCCAAATTTTATTAAAGAAACAATGCTGGGAAAAGTCTATAGAATTTTTCAAAACAGAAAATTGTGTGTGTGTGTGTGTGTGTGTGTGTGTGTGTGCGTGCGCGCGCGTGTGTGTGTGTGTGTAGGGGCCATATTTGCTAATATTTTCCACTCATAGAGAATTTGTATTTCCAAAGCCAAAGCTCTCTTAGATTACCTCTTTTGTCTTCAAAACAACCCTGTAAGGTACATAAGAGCTAGTATAAGCTATTTTTCACATTTCTCAAAGGTGGAAGATAAACCCAAGAGGCTGAGTAACCTGCACAAGGTGACATAACACAATATTTAAGAAAATGGTGACGAGCATCTGTGTCTCTGGGTTCCTTGATAACTGCTTTTCTTCCTCCCTCCCTCTCTTTCTTCTTTCCCAGCCCAGCCCCCTTTCATTCATTTTGCCTGTATACTGCAGATTTGGGCTCCTTCAGTAAAGCCAGTAGAAAAACTTTGTCATTGGGTTTCCAGAAAGTGGCCTTTAAAATAAGAATAGAATGGATCTGGATCGTGGATTCGGTTTACTATTTTCCACCGGAGAATGCATTATCAGGGGTGTTTTTAACGCGTGTTTTTATGCCATGAAAGAGGAATGCGGCACATTGTTTTGTAAGACATTCTTCAACCCCACTTAGAGGCCAGGCCTCCTGCCAAAAATGCTGAAGAATGGTGGCGCAATGGGTTGGCATTATAGAACCTCACGAACCTCAATACCTAGGCGTTCACATGAAAACTTGCCACGAGCACGAGGCCTTTCGTAACTTGCTATAGAAAATGAGTGAACGCCTAAGAGATTAGCGCCACATTCTTCAGAATTAAGGATAAGAATCAAACGGAAACTACCGCGCTATCAGCTAAGTATGAAGGGAGTAGTTTCAGCAGGAGAGGAGACCATCAGGGCAACCCTGTCTTGGAGCCTTAAAAGGCTCCCCATCTCCTCGGTTCCCCGGGGAGCGCCCGGTCGCTGCGGCGCCTTCCCGGCACTGCGGCGCACTGCGGAGCCGCCTGCCCGCCTGGGCCGTGCGGGGCTTTCCTCGCCGCCCCACGCCGCCGCAATCTGCCCGCCCCCCGCGGCCCCGCCGGGTCGCCACAATCCGCGCCGGGCGCGCCGCGGGGCATCCATCAACCGAGAGCCTTTGACGCACACATGCGCGCTCCCAGACGGAGACTCCGCCGCCTGCGCCCACCCGCCACCCCCTCACGCCCGCCGGCCCGCCCCTCGCGGGTCTGCATTTGCATCACTGGGACACGTAGCGGGTGACGCGAGCGCCCCCCTCTCAGGCCGTCCAGGCGGCACCTCCAGCCCCTGTGACTCAGCCCCTCCCCCTCCGCCCCCGCGCGCCGCCGAAGGTCCTCGCAAGCCCACAGATCTCCCGATTGTTCATCTGCCACGGGGTACTGGCTGCCCCAAGCCAAGTTCATCCCCGGATTCTGCAGTCCCCCTGGGCCCAGCCCGGGGCGCTCCCCGCGAAGCTCTGGAGGAAACTCTTCCCGGTTCTAGAACCCAGGCGGAGGGGAAAAAGCCCACTAAGAGAAAGAGTCAGAGAAAGGGTCGGCTGATGGCCTGCACTGCCCTCATCCCCATCTGAGATCACCTCGGTAGTTTATTTACCGGGAACGCTCCCTCTTCCCTCCGGGCTTCACAGCCTTCGGTCGGCTGCGCCTCGCCTGGCGCCCAGTAGGCGCCCAGTGTGTTTTTGCTGAATGAAGGCGTTGTGTAGGCAGTGCAGGCGCTGACAAAGAGCCTCAGCCCCGCGGGCACCCCTGCTCTCCAGCCCTCTCTAGCTCCCGCTTAGACGCTACACAGGCGCTTCAGGAATGCCTGTGGGAGAGTTTGAACATTCGTGGTGTTTCTTTCAGGCTCCCTCAGCACTTACTGCCGCTGCCTCTGCTCTCCCACCATCCGCACGTCTGCAGAGGAATCCCCGTCGAAAAGTTGAACCTAAGGCTGCTATGAAGATAGAGGTCCCAGTACCCAGCCCGGAGCTACAGGATGCTGGATGGGAATCTACCTACCCCTTCTTGTCGAACCACACAAGCAAAAAAGAGCCTGGCAGACGCGCCCCTGCATCCCCGCTGCTGCCCACCCACCTTCCCTGAAAATCTGGGATAAAGTGTGACCCAGTCCCCAGACCTACCCTAGCGAACCAGGAGTCACTGTATCTATTGTACCCCGACTTTCCCGGTCCCTCCCCAACAAAGGCGCCTACCCAGCAGCAGGCACCTGCAGCCGCTTCTCCGGGGGCAGTCGGGGCAAAGTTGCGCTTCTGAAAGGCAGCAAAAACTTCCCCAGGCTGCAGCGCCCGGCCAGCAGTCGGGAAGAGAAATCCAGCAGTGGGGGAAAGTCTCCCCGCGGATGCCCGCCTCGCCTCACCGACTCACCGCTCCAGCCGTCGGAGACCCTTGCTCTGAGTGGTGTCAGCACTGCAGCCGCCTCCGTGCGGGCGCCGCTCCGGCTCGCTTCCCCGGGCCGCCTCCGTCTGCCACTCTCTCCTGCAGCGCGCGGAGTGGTAGTGGTGACTCCTCTGTGCGTGTCAGCGGCGAGAGGAGGGGCGGGAAAGTGGTACCCGGCTTGCACGCTGCGGTCCTCCTCCCCTCCTCCGCCCGCCCCCTCCCCCCGGTGCTGCAGTGCCGGGCGGCGGCGTGGCGAGAGTACGAGCGGTGCGCAGGGAGTCACGGCGCGCGCGGGAGGCGGGCGCAGCGCACCACTCGCGGTGCTTGGGGAAGTCGCGGTGCTGAGGCTCTGCTGCTGTGCGGGCCTGGGGCGGGGGACGGGGGACGGGGGACGGGGGCAGGGAGGCAGAGCCGCCTCCAAATGGTAGGTACTTCTGGAGAAGTCGGGGCTTCGAGTTTGTAGCAGGTGAAGGAGAGGGGCGCCGGTGCTCAATTAGTCACAGACTGTGACTGTGCGTTGCGCACTTGGCGGCGCCCTGGGTCAGGTCCAGCCAGACGCAAGGGAATTCTGACTGCTGGGCCCTGTTAGCACCGGGCCAAAGAGGGTTTGTATTCTATTTCTGGGCCGGGACTGACTTGCTCACTTTGTCTTGGCTTTCAGGGAGCAACCAGGCAGAGCTAGGTTGCCCATTTCCCCCAGCCCCCACCCCAACGCTGGCAGACAAGTCCAGAGGAAACTTGGGCACAGCAAGAACAAACGGAAGAAAACTTCGCTGGGTTAAGTCCAGTGTCTCCCCGGTGCTAGGTCGGGCCAGACAGCTGGGATCACAGGAAGACATTGACAGTGGTCCCTTAGGAGGAAACAACCGAGTGTGTGTGTGTGTGTGTGTGTGTGTGTGTGAGAGAGAGAGAGAGAGAGAGAGAGCGAGAGAGAGAGAGAGAGAGGGAGATTGCCACACCCAAGCTTGGCGCACCCATCCCGCAACAGCATCGGAGGGCGTTACCCTCCCGGGCCATTCGACGGGGACCCTGCCATCCGGAACTAGATCCTGCGGGAAACACTGCATTCCCACGTCCCTGACTCCTCTAGCTCTGCGCACTCACGGAACCCATGTGGAGTGGGAAGCGGTCACTCAGGCGTGTGCCTTCTCCAAAATCGTTGCTCCTGTGGTGCGGACCCAAAGCGAGACAAAGCGCGGCGCCAGTACGGGCTGCAGTGGTTGGAGCTTAAACACGCATACATCTCTCCGCGAGTGTGTTCTATCTGTGTAAATAGGTGATTGAACGGATGGCTGAATGAATGCTGTGTGGATAGAAATATAAATGCTACATGTATAATACAGGCGCCCGGGAAGGAAAGCTATCAGGCACCCCCAGGCTGGAGCCTCCCGCCCAGAGGATCCTGTGGGACCAGGCAGTGTGCCCAGGGCGGTGTTGTTATAACTTGGGCTTTCCGATTTTATTTGTGCCACTATGCAGGATACTGTGAAGAGAAGAAAATGAAGACAACTGTTGGCCTTTCATTTTCCCTCCTCTCTGGTTCAGACACTCTGGAACTTTAAGATTCTCATGTCCTGTTGAGCCTACACTTCCTGAGCTGGTCTTTCTTGTTCTGGTGAGAGACTTTGTTGTCTGTGACTGTAGGCGGTGCTATGAGATGATCAGGCAACATGAAAATTATTGAAGTGCTCATTTTCATTTCATGGATTCTTCTTGTAAAATAATTATTTAAATAGTTAAAGAATTTAAATAAATAATCATTTAGGCAACAATTAACGTGCTGCTACTATGACAAGGAAGTGCCTATGAATCCTGCATTGGAAATGCAATTGTAAAATTAAAAAATAACAAATTGGGATTTCCCACACGATGTTTATAAAAATTTGAGCTTCCAACTGCAAAATGTGCTGGCATTTCACAGAGTTCTCACATGGGTACCTTTTTGAGAACCTTTTCCAAACTGTTGCAGAATAATGTATTGTTTCTCCAAGTTATGGAAGTTCAGAAAACCGTGAAACAAACCTTAAAAACAATCAGTGTGCTTTATGCTATGCTTGTCTTCCTTAAATCTTTCTCCTATGTTGTCCGTGGAAGATATTTTTTAACGTGGATTGATTTTTCTACCACTGGACTTTCTTGTCTTGATGCATTTGAAGGTAGCATTTCCTTTTTTGTGTGCTTCTGATTGTGTGTTTGCAGGAAACATCCCATTTAAGACCAGGTTGTACTGGAAAAGGCTATTTTAACATTGTATCTTTGGACCACAGGAAATACTTTGTCATGATGATGTTGTGCCATGGTTCCTGGACTTGCCCTCTAAAGCAGTTCTGTTCTAGGGTCCTTCCTGGCACACACCTTGGCCCCAGGCCCCTTGGATACAGCACTCAGACTAGTCTTATTCACACCTTCATTATAAGGAAATGTTTTCTCTCTTCTGAAAACACTTGTCTTGTAGAAGCAGATGGAGGAAAAGTGGGTACACCTGCCCTGTCCCCACAGAATCCCAGTGCTCTAAAGTCATTGCCCTACACATCAGGAGTTTTCTTCCTCAAGGCAATGTCTTCTTGTGATGCTAAAAAACAAGCTATGAAAGACATGTAATGAGTAAGAGAGGTCTGTTTTCACATCTGCAAAGTAGTTTTGACAAAATAATTCACACTAAGTACAGATGCTATAGTGATTGTATTTACACAAGAAGCATGTGCCTAGAACATAATGGGTATACAGTAAATGTTAGTCGTTCTTCCTCTTTTAGTAGTTGGAGCAAAGTTTGCCAAAGGCTGTGCTTTGGAGAACACTGGTTTTGTAAGATGCCCTGGAAAGTCAGAGTTACACCTGGCTTCACAGCAGAGGTCTGAAGGGAGCCCCATATTCTCAGACCAAGTCTGCACCTCTCCACTTCTCCTCACCGTTATCAGGCGTCTATTGCAAAATGCAGACACCTACCCTTCTTACCCCAACACTCAGCTTCCACAACACTCAACACTATTTTTCTCTTTTGTCAGTTTAATTAAAGTATTACTATTTATTTTTTTTTAAAAAAAAAACTCTTTCTCATAAACACCGATTTTAATATCTAAGTCCATTTTGTGCAAAAGAAACACTATCAAGAACTTCCCTTCGGACAGAAAAATGATGTTCATTCTTCCAAACATCCAAATTGAAAGTCTACCACAACCAAAACAAAATAAGCCCACGGAGAAACAAAAAGTAACAAAAATCACATTCTAGGGGGTTAGTGCATCTGGCAGTCTTTGCTGTGCTGTCCAACCATCTTTCAGCTGACTTTCAAAAAATAACACCCTCAGCTCATCAAAATATACATTTGCCATTTGCTTTTTTTTTTGGAGACAAAGTCTCACTCTGTTGCCCAGGCTGGAGTGCAATGGCAGGATCTCAGCTCACTGCAACCTCTGCCTTCTGGGTTCAAATGATTCTCCTGCCTCAGCCTCTCCAGTAGCTGGGATTACAGGTGGCCACCACCATGTCCAGCTATTTTTTTGTGTTTTTAGTAGAGACAGGGTTTCCCCATGTTGATCAGGCTAGTCTCGAACTCCTGACCTCAGGTGATCTGCCCACCTCAGCCTCCCAAAGTGCTGGGATTACAGGCGTGAGCCACTGCACCTGGTCTGCCATTTGCTTTTTAAAATTAAAAATAATAATTAAAAAAGAAAACTTCAAGGAATTCACGATCAATTGCCTGACTTGTTTCAATGTCATATACAGCATATAGAGATCCAAAAAGGCTATTTGCAGCACATGCGATTAAAGGATATTCATCTTTAAGGTTTAGCTTTCTTCCAGACAGGGTAAAATACCCACAATTCGAAGTTTGAAGGGACACAGATGATCTTTGAGAATTCCACAAGGCAATACTGGCACCCGAGCTATTCTTCATATAGTGGCAGGGCTCCTGTCAGATTGACACAATTTCCCTGTAATATTTCCTATTCTGTTTCGATATGTTCATTGAGGGGTCAAGAATCAGTCTGAGAAACTTCCATGTGGAATCTTGTTCCAGAGATACGGAGATTGGAACAGCTGTCAAATCATTAGTCATATAATCAAATTCTCTCCCTTCCTCCGTGTGCTTCTTCAGTATTGGAATACAGTCTTCTCTCAGAACCTGAGAGCAGTCTCCTTTAAGATTGTCTATGACATCACCACATGTTTTTTGCATATATTTCTTACATCCATCAATCATCATTAGGTCAATCTCTACCATAGTGACCATCTTTGATTTTCGTTTGACCGTTTCACACAATAAGTCCCCATCTCAGCCTCTGAGAATCAATCAGTACATCTTTGCCAGTGTAATCTTCTTCGCTGCTGCCCATGATGGGCCGGGAATATACCAAATCACTGCCAAATTAACATCTCCACTAAGGATGTGAATATTTCCAAATTGCTTCTAGTGTAGAATTTTAATGTTCTGAAAAGGTGAATCTTTATTGTACACCACTTCATCTATTCAACCAGGTGCGCATTGGCGGTGGATCAATGTCTGTTGATGGCCCCTCTTCAAACTATGGGTAGTAATCACGTCACCAGCCCAGTACTGTCTTGACTCAATTCTTTTATTCTTTTTTCTACTTTGTTCGAAAGGCTGACGATCTCTTCTTTGCTCTGCGGGTCATCATTGTAACTCTGAGGGTCCAGCAACACCAGTCCATGTGGGCAAATTCTCCAATTAGCAAAGCTGCTGTTTTTGTGTTTCCATTTGTGTAGGTTGCTGAATAGCCATGGTCCTGCCAGGTGTGCACCAGCTCCGCCATCCCCTGCTCCTGGAAAATAGACTGGAGAGCTTTTAGAATTGCCTTTCCATTAGCTTTGGCTCTGAGCATGAAGTTGATCTTGTTGTGCCATGCTGCTGTCATAGTGAGGCGAGGCCCTCCCTGTGCCATACCTGGGGAGGTGGCTGAGGGAGCCTGGGTGGGTGGGGTTGTGCCCATGTCAGGCTGTGGCTCACAGGAGTCAAGAGAGTATATTTTGAGTCTACCAATGTTCATCTTTTTAATCCTTTAGTGCCTACTCGTATCAGTGACCACAAGAAGCCCCAAAATCTCAAGTGCTTTTCTCATCTCCTACATTCTAACGCTCATAGGGCCCAGTACATCC